GTAAATTAAAAGCAAACTAAATATTATTGTTATATACATATACACATTCATGGATCTTCAATCTTTCGATACCTGCACTGCACTAGGTCTTGTTTTTCTCTGACTGTTTATGACATTTTACACTAAATCCATTGGCTGTTGGATGTGTACTGATTGATAATTTAGTCTTAGATGCATGATTTTTGTCGAGCCTGCAACTTTTGTCGCAGAAAGCTCGACATAGGGATAGTGATCCGGCGGCGTTAGCTAACTTTTTAAAAGCTTTATATTTTAGAAGGTGGAAGACCTGGATGCTTCATACTTAGTATATAGATGCATCATGTTACGAAGTTTCTGTCAGTTACATGTCCAACGTCCTTGACCTCATTTTCATGGTTCAGTGACTACTTGAAAAAAAAAGTTAAGATTTTTGTAATGTTAAATTCTCTCTTATTATAAGTAATAGGATAACTATATTTGGTATGTGCGTACGTTGCAAGGTCCTCATGCCCGTCAGACAGTTTTCACTTGACCTCGACCTCATTTCATGGATCAGTGAACAAGGTTAAGTTTTGTTGGTCAAGTCCATATCTTAGATACTATAAGCAATATGTCTAGTATATTTGGTGTATGGAAGGACTGTAAGGTGTACATGTGCAACTGGCATGTGTCATCTGACCTTGACCTCATTTTCATGGTTCAGTGGTTATATAGTTAAGTTTTTGTGTTTTTGTCTGTTTTTCATATACTGTATATATGCAATAGGTCTACTATATTTGGTGTATGGAAGGACTGTAAGGTGTACATGTCCAACTGGCATGTGTCATCTGACCTTGACCTCATTTTCATGGTTCAGTGGTTATAGTTAAGTTTTTGTGTTTTTGTCTGTTTTTCATATATTGTATATATGCAATAGGTCTACTATATTTGGTGTATGGAATGATTGTAAATATGTGTTCAACTAATGGATTAGTAATTGGAGGAACCCTATTTAAGCATAAAGACATACACAAAACAGGGACAAAAATCAGATTGACCACATCATCATAAATGGCAAATGGATACGATCATTACTCGATACCCGAGCATTTAGGGGAGCAGATGTGAACAGCGACCATCATTTAGTTATAGCTAAACTCCAACTAAAGCTGAAAAAGGTACCAGACAATAACAAACCTGGAAGAAAGATCATCAATGTCAACCGTCTGAAAACACCAAGGAGGTGTATCAAAACACAAGTGAAAAGATCATTGGCGCCCGTAAGGACAGCAATAAACAATGGTTAACATCAGACACATGGAAAGCAATCGATGAAAGAGCAAAACTGAAAGAAAAGGTCCTCAGCACTAGGTCATCAAGGTTAAAAGAACAAACACAGAAAGAATATGGAGAGAAAGATAAGGAGGTAAAGAAAAGAGCTAGAAAAGATAAAAGGAACCATCTAGAAGAACGAGCTGAAGAAGCAGAAAAGGCTGCTGCAAAAGGTGATTTAAGTACATTATACAAGATCACAAAAGAACTATGTGGTCAATCCAAACAACCACATCCAGTTAAAGACAAAAATAGAAAAATCATTACAACTGAAAGGGAACAGGCTGCACGTTGGGTAGAACACTTCAAGGCTGTTTTGAATAGACCAGAACTAATAAACGAATTTCAGGGAGCACCACAATTTGAAGATCTAGATATTAGCACTGACCCACCATCTAAAGAATAAATAACAAAGGCAATTAAATCCATGAAATCTGGAAAGGCAGCAGGCATAGATGGAATTCAAGCTGAACTACTGAAAGCTGACATCAACACAGCAACAGTCATACTACATGATCTCTTCAAAGACATATGGGAAGAAAATAAAATACCTGAAGACTGGGCAAAAGGTCTTATCGTTAAACTAACGAAGAAAGGTGATCTTGGGATTTGTGACAACTGGAGAGGTATAACATTACTCTCAATCCCAAGTAAAGTGTTTTGCAGAATACTGTTAAACAGGATAGACTCTGAACTGGATGACAGGTTAAGACAGGAACAAGCTGGGTTTAGGAAAGGGAAAGGATGTATTGATCAGATCTTTGCTCTAAGGAACATCATTGAGAAGTGTATAGAATGGAAGACACCTCTATATATCAACTTTATTGATTTCAAGAAAGCATTCTACAGTTTACATAGAGAGACTCTTTGGACAATCCTTATATCATATGGAGTACCACACAAGATCGTAACAATGCTTTTATACCAACTTTGAATGTGCTGTGATACTCAACAACAAGGAAACTGACTGGTTTGAAGTAAAATCTGGAGTACGACAGGGCTGCATTATCTCATCCATCTTATTCCTGGTTGCCATTGACTGGGTGATGCGGAAGACCACCAGTGACAAAAAAAGAGGCATCACATGGTCAATGTTTACAACCCTAGAGGACCTTGACTTTGCTGATGATATAGCACTCCTTTCATCAAACCAAGACAATATGCAGGAAAAGACAAATCGGCTCAGCCATTTTGCAAGCCAAATTGGACTTGAAATGAACGCAAAAAAGACTCAAGAAATGCGACTTACCACAACATCAAACTTAAGACTTAAAGCTGAGGGCACAGAAATCCAATAGGTAGATAAATTTACTTATCTAGGAACTGTGGTTAGTACAGAAGATCCAACACAAAAAGATATTAAAAGTAGGCTAGCCAAGGCAAGATCTGCATTTCAAAGACTACGACCCATTTGGAAGTCCAAACGATACAACAGGAAAACAAAGATAAGGCTATATAACAGTACTGTTAAATCTGTCCTTCTGTATGGAAGTGAATGCTGGAGAGTAACGAAAACAGATATGAGATCGCTCTCAAGTTTCCACCACAATTGTCTGAGGCGAATCTGCAAAATCTTCTGGCCAAACCGCATTTCAAATGAACATCTCCTTGAAATGACTAAGTCCTCATGTATTCTGAAAGAAATTCGACAGAGGCACTTCAGATGGCTGGGGCATGTTCTCAGGATGCCTGTATCCAATATCACCAGGATAGCTCTTAGATGGACGCCCCAGGGGAAGAGACCAAGAGGAAGACCCAAAACCACATGGCGTCGAACGATTGAAGCAGAACTGAAGGAGCTTGACATGACCTGGGGAGAAGCCGAAACAAAGGCTAAAGACAGAGTTGGATGGCGAAATCTTGTGGCAACCTTATGCTCCGCCAGGAGCGAAGAGGATAGGAAGGAATGATTGTAAGGTGTACATGTCTAGCTGGTAGGTGTCATCTGACCTTGACCTCATTTTCATGGTTCAGTGGTCAAAGTTAAGTTTTTGAATTTTGGTCTTTTTATCTAATACTATATGCAATAAGTCAACTATATTTGGTGTATGGAAATATTTTATGATCTATATGTCAGTTGCTCAGATTTAATTTGACCTTGACCTCATTTTCACGGTTCATTGCTCAGTGTTAAGTTTTTGTGTTTTGGTCTGTTTTTCTTAAACTATAAGCAATACATCTGTTGTATGGAAGAATTGTTAGCTGTACATGTCTGCCAAATTTTGACGGGACGTATTATGGTATACAAATGTCCGGCGTCCGTCTGTCCATCTTCCGGCGTAAGTTTTCGTTCTTTCTTGCTGTGTGGAAAAAAAATCTCAAACAAGAAAAATTGTTCCAAAGTTTTTATAATCTATTGTTCATGAACAATGTAAAATGCTTTTTTTAAAGGCGATTTATTTATCAAAGACAAACTATGAATCGTATAAATGAGCTTTGATTTAGGGACGACATCAAAAGATCAATGTAAGATAAAAAAAAAAACTTATTTCAAATATTTGGGGGTGGGGTAAAAAGTGCTGCAAGTTTTGTTTATTTGACATCGATTTTACATATATCTGTATTGGTCAATCAACTTGATTTTTCCCAAATTAAGTTAAGAGGGGGTTGGGGTCCGTGAAAAAACTATGTGGATTAAGTTTGTTTATACTACATTGAACTTTTGGTGTCGTCCCTTATTGTCCTGTGAATTTTTATCCATGACTTAATTCAGGCAAATTTTTTGCCTTTCTTGCACTGTTGAAAATAAGGACAGAGGGCATCAGATATAAATACTGTTAGTATTAAATCGCACTGATAGCAGTTACAAAATTTTAGATAAGTGAAAATAAGTTGAAATATGAAAGAAAACTTTCAAATAAGTATTACTCCTAAACACACATAAAAAGGGAGACCCACTATAAAAGCGCTTGCGAACTAACTCGCTTCATGATGATGTCTTTAGTTATTGCAATTGGTAAACCTTCACTTATCAATCAGAGAGAGAGCTCTACTTATCAATATCAATAAAAATATATTTTAACTGTTGAATGACTTATTCTTCAATTATTTAGTCTTAGAATTTATATCTTTAATTTCACCAATTGTCTAAATTTGATTTATTGAACCTTTTTGTCTGCTTACGCCTTACCTAACTAAAGATGATTGAGATATGTTTAGCCGTTTTTACATAAAACATTTAAAAAATTAAAAACATCTAGCTTGTAAGTTATTTCTTCAAAGACATATATAGCATCATTTTAAAGCAAACTTATTTGTCCAAGGCATAAATGAATGATTGTACTGAAATGAATGAATATATATAGCCTATTGTTAGAAAGCTGGACAAACTTCTGTTTGCTGGTGTTTATATGTTTATAATAAAATGCTCCGCTGGGCGCAGCTTGATACGACCGCAGAGGTCGAACCCTGAACTGTTGGGGCAAGTATGGACACAACATTCAAGCTTGATACAGCACTGAATTTGGATTCTGATTAAATATTTGACACAGGATATGTTTCTGACACAGAATGAATGTGGTCCAAGAACTTATTTTTTTTTTAATTTACCTATTCAAACCATATCATTATTACTTGTTTTTATATATAAATCAGAAATAACCAATTTAAAATGGAAAATTTAAAAGAAAAAAAAAGGAAAAAAAAAATCCCCCCTCAAATTTTTTAAACCCCTTATGATTCATCAACCCCAAACTCAATCCCAGCCTTTGTGTTACAATGTATGGTGCCTTGCAGTACAATTTCAGAGAGATCCATACACTTGAACACAAGTTATTGTCTGGAAACTAGAAAAATGCTTGTTTTTTTTCCCTTTTTGGCCCCAAATTCCTAAACGTTTAGGGCAATTACCCCCAAACTCGAACCCAGCTTTCCCTTTGTGATATGGATCCTTGTTGTACAATTTCATAAAGATCCATACACTTACACACAAGTTATTGTCCTGAAACTAGAAAAATGCTTGTTTTTTTTTCAGCTTTTTGGCCCCTTATTCCTAAAATTTTGATGCAATTACCCCCAAAATCAATCCCAGCATTCCCTTTGTGGTATGGTACCTTGCAGTACAATTTCAGAGAGATCCATACACTTGAACACAAGTTATTGTCTGGAAACTAGAAAAATGCTTGTTTTTTTCCCCCTTTTTGGCCCCAAATTCCTAAACGTTTAGGGCAATTACCCCCAAACTCAAACCCAGCTTTCCCTTTGTGATATGGAACCTTGTTGTACAATTTCATAAAGATCCATACACTTACACACAAGTTATTGTCCTGAAACTAGAAAAATGCTTGTTTTTTTTCAGTTTTTTGGCCCCTTATTCCTAAAATTTTGAGGCAATTACCCCCAAAATCAATCCCAGCATTCCCTTTGTGGTATGGTACCTTGCAGTACAATTTCAGAGAGATCCATACACTTGAACACAAGTTATTGTCTGGAAACTAGAAAACTGCTTATTTTTGGCCCCCTTTTGGCCCCATATTCCTAAACTTTTTGGGCAATTACTCCCAAACTCAATTCCAGCTTTCTCTTTGTGATATGGAACCTTGTAGTACAATTTCATAAAGATCCATACACTTACACACAAGTTATTGTCTTGAAACTAGAAAAATGCTCGTTTTTTGCCCCTTTTTTTACCCTAATTCCTACAATTTTGAGGCAATTACCCCCAAAATCAATCCCAGCCTTTCCTTTAGTGGTATGGTACCTTGCAGTACTATTTCAGAGAGATCCATATACTTGAACACAAGTTATTGTCTGGAAACTAGAAAAATGCTTATTTTTGGCCCCCTTTTGACCCCTTATTCCTAAACGTTTTGGGCAATTACCCCCAAACTCAATTCAAGCTTTCCCTTTCTGATATGGAACCTTGTAGTACAATTTCAGAAAGATCCATACACTTACACACAAGTTATTGTCATGAAACTAGAAAAATGCTTGTTTTTTGCCCCTTTTTTAGCCCCTAATTCCTAAAATTTTGAGGCAATTACCCCCAAAATCAACCCAAGCATTCCTTTTGAGATATGGAACCTTGTGGTACAATGTCAGAGAGATCCATACACTAACACACAAGTTATGTCTGGAAGTTACAAAAATGCTTATTTTTGGCCCCTTTTTGGCCCCTAATTCCTTAACTGTTGCTACCATAACCCCCAAAATCAATCCCAACCTTCCTTTTGTGATATTGAACCTTGTGGTAAAATGTCATAGAGATCAATTCGCTTTAACTAAAGTTAGAGTGCGAAAACCAATGTGTCTTCGGGCGACGACGACGACGACGACGCCGGACGACGACGATGACGACGACGACGACGACGCCAACGTCATACCAATATACGACCACAAAATTTTTTTTGCGGTCGTATAAAAACGCAGCTGGTATTATGAAATATAATTTCATTACTAATAGTGATTAAAATGCGTAATCTACGGTTCGGTACCAATTTCGTCGTCAGTGCTAATGAACAGAGACATATATTTGTCTCTGTAATGAAAATATTAAATTTCTGGGTAACAAGGATATCATATAACCTCCTAGATGGTATTTTTTTAAGATATATGAACATCAAAACTCATGAGATACGTTTTATGAGTGTTTGTTAAAAAATGTCATTCAAGATCAATTAACAAAAATTATGGATTTTTTCCCTAATTTTTCAAAATAATTTCCCCTTCGTACATTGATTTATAATCTCGACGCGGTTTTGATCTCAATATCATAGCCCTTTTAAAGACCACTAACTCAAGTATCGTAATTTATAACTCCCGTGAAGACGCTAATTAATTTTTATCAGAGACATGCATGTCTCTGTTGTATTTAACAAGATTAGTAAATGCAACGACGTCTATTGGAAGGAGTTAAGAGTTATCGTTAATTATCTACTGTCCAATCTAAACAGATTGGGTTATCTCGCTTGGAAATGTGACATATTCTTGCACATGATAACTTATTTTCTATTTTTCCAGCGCCGGCAACAATTTCACTTTATTGCTAGTGCAGGTAAAATAGCAATTTCTATAGAAAAAGACTATTTTGCCGGCTTGAATTGAGATATTTTAATCATAGCCGGCAAAATAGCCACTGCCAAAAACAATAGGGTTTTACTACAAGTATCACATACAATTTACATTATCAATGATCGACGACAATAAGGTTGAGGTCAGATAAACCATGGCAGACAGACAATTACACCTTACAACCATTCCATACACAAAATATAGTTGAATTTTTGTTAATAGTATCAAAGAAACGACCCAAACTGTCAAAATTTAACATTGCCCAATTGAACCATTAAAATGTGACCAAGGTCAGACAATACACGACAGACAGACATGTACACTTGACAATCATTCCTTGCACCAAATAGAGACTTAACCAGGAAAGTGTAACATTGACAAATAAACCATGAAAATGAGGTCAATGTCATATGAAACATGCCAGACAGGCATGTACACAATTATTCCATGATGATGCACAACATATATTTGACCTATTGCTTTTAATATCTTAGAAACAGACTTCACATGGAAAACTAAATATCGACAAATGAACCTTGAAAACGAGGACAAGGACAGATGAACCCTGCCAGACAGACATGTAAACCTTACCATTATTACATACATCAAATATAGTTGATCTATCACTATCACTTATAATAACTGAGAAGAGGACCAAACTTCAGAAACTTACTATTGACCAATGAACCATGAAAATGCGGTCAAGGACAAATGATACCTGCCAGACAGACATGTATACCTTACAATCATTCCATACACCAGATATGGTTGACTGTTGCTTATTGTATTTGAAAAACAGACCAAAACACAAAAAAACTTGCATTGACAAATGAACCATGCATATGAAGTTAAGATCAGATCAAATCTGCCCGACTTGCATGCACCCCTTACAATCCTTCCATACACCACATATAGTTGACATACTGCTTATAGTATATGAGAAACGGGCATAATCACGTAATTTTAACTTTGATCGCTGATCGATGAAATTAGGTCGAGGTCAGGTGAGCCCCGTCTGAGGGACATGTAGAGTAAACACCAAATGGTACTTAAGTTTCATCTTAAGGCTATGTAACAACACAAATATAAAAAGCCTATGTCAAAAGATAATAAAGTTTAGACCCAGATATGTTCATGTCATCAACATATCAACAAAAAAATTGTTGACTATAAGGACAGAAGTCACATCCATTGGTAAACATAACATCTTCTTGATGTGATGTAACAACGTGCCAATTTAAAAGAACTATATGTCATAAATACCAAAAAGTTTACCTTGGGGTTAAAGGTAAAGTTCAAACTCGATGGTACACAACATTGTTTTGAGACGATGTTCCACTTAATATCAAGTCTGTGTCTAAATAAACTATTGCCCAGACACAATTGTGTCACTTACTTAATAAACGGACCTTAAACCCAATGGTCACATTAAATGATAGGTGATATATCCTATTGAGGTAATGTGTACAGAGCCAAAAAACGAAAATGTTCCTCTTATATTAGAATGTATGTTTTTTTGGGACTTTTTGTTATTGCAACTTTGCTATTTCTGAATCCTTATTATTACATGTATATGTGATAATTTATTCAAACATAATTTTTTATGAAAGCAGTTATACTGTTCTAGGTCCATTTTTTTACTAGTATTTATTACTCTAGATAGCTAAGCATCTTGACATCTCACACATCAAATAAATTGAAAAATGTAGACCAGGGAGACTAAATTTTTTATTAAAGGAATGTACTTCTCACATTTGACATCAAGTTATGTATGAAAGGAATTTATCTAATGTCTAGTCACATGCTTGTCATTCCTTGCATTGCATTGCTGTACCTCTGTATGCATTGGTTTTCTGAATAAAATATTGTTTATACATGTACTAAGTTATTTGACATTAGTAAGCTGCATATCTGAGAATTGAACTGGAACATAAAACATAATCAGAAGAAAAAAATAAGGCAATATTTTGAATTGGAGTTATCCTCCTTTGTCCATAATTGTAGGAAGAACAGATAGATTCATACGAGATGTACTACTTTCTGCAATTTGTGTCTAATTTGAATGAAAATGTTTTATTGACAATAATGGTTATACAGATATACATCATTTTGTAAATCTGAAGATATATTATTAATAAACTGTTTGACATGGGTATAAACAGACTCTAAAGACAGTTCCCTCACTGCACTGTGATGTTTGTACTCACAAAATTTAAGAAGAGCTGTAGCCTAAATATAGAAAAATCTAGCAAGGTGTAATAGATTTTTTTATTGCAACCTTTACCCCAAAAACAACAAACAAAGTGCTTGGTCTTTATAATATAATATAATAAATCATAAAACAATTTATCAACAGTTGAACAAAGAAAAAGTGAGTTATAAATCATTTACATTCATATACATTAGTTTCGTAGACAAATATTACATGTATCATAATTCATTAATAAAGAGTTAACATTATTTGCGTCCTAGTCAACTGCAAAAAAGGGGGAATATTTGTATCAACAATATCCATATGAGAATTATCAGGTAATGACTGCCACCAAAAAATTCTTCAATTGCATAAATATTTCTTCCTCTATATAATATCACTGCATTATTATCAAAACCAATGATTTCAGTACAATTGTATAATAGATACATGCATGTTGGGCAGTAAAAATACAATCATTTCATATTGTGAATTAATCATGATAAGAACTTATTTTCTTTTATTTAGGATAAAATATTGATAAAACACTAGCTTTAAGTTGAATCTTCCACTTATTAAAAGCTTGAACTAAAAAATGAACTCTGCATTTATTTCAACAATTCGAAATATTATTTTGTTTCCATTATTTGAATAAAGTATTTTTTTTGAATTCATTTATTTAGCTGCTTAAATTTTCTTTTTTAGAATACATATACAAGTTTTTTAAAATGGTTATCACAAACACATATGAGGCATAAAATCTAATCATTTGGTCAAATGCATTTTTGAAAAAAATAATGATTGAAAAACACAATTTTGAATTCTTCTATAAATTTAATACGAAAACTGTTAAACTCTCTATTAAACCAAAATCTGTTATCAAGCATACAGCACAAATGTGCCTACACCGTTTAATTTTTGACAATACTGTGTCTGAATAGAAGCATTCATCCACCATTGGAGTATTCTCAAATCTTACTAACCTGTATGCTGTTGATCAAGCAAAGAATCTGAATTATCAAATTTTAGATGCATAAAAAATCTGCCTAATTAGTAATTGACTTTGATGTGTATGCAGTAACAAGACAAGTTGTATCCTTTTATACCAGAGATATGTAACACATTTGTTAACATTGAATTACAATTTAATCAAGCAGAAAAAAAAGAATACAGAATTGAAGGCTCCCTATCCAATATGCTGTTTTTTAAGCCAAAAATTATTTTTAAATGTTGAAAATCCGATCTATCTTTTTGGCACTGACCAAGGTTACACTATATGCCTAATGTACCATCCTAATGCAGGCTTTCCAATTGAACCACACAATGTTATAAAAAAATTACTGTTATTCATTGGATGTTATCAAAGAAAGAAAAGAAACCAAAACCTTTTTGTATATTCACCTGCTTTCAAAAACGAGATGTAAAAGAAGTGTATAAAAAAAAATAATAAACAGCCGCCCTCTCTAAACCTCAAAAAAATATGATCTACAGATATATGAGGTAATGACAGCATTTAGTATGTAGTATCCATTCCTTTTGAAAATTGCTTTTTAGGTTGTACTCTGATAATGCATTAATACACATGCTTGTTAATATATATCTTCCTTGAAATATGCCATTAAGCTACAAGTTAAGAATAGATATATGATATATGTAGTAAATGGAAAAATTCTATGTGCTTCTAAAATATGTACTCAGAAAGTTTTTTTTAAAAAAAAATTATCAAGAAAAAGAGATATAATTTGTACTTTTTTAAGCTTTTTCCAATACTAGTATTCCTTTTCTTAAATTAAAGGTGCTTTTCAAAATATGTTTTATTGATAAAAAAAAAATTCAAATTTGAGCTAAATTGTGATTTAAAGTCCTTCATTATGAAGTAGTCAGCTTTGTTTTCAATTGTTTTTTTTTTAAAAGAACATATGGATTATATAAAATGTACTTTCAATGACTTGACCATGTAA